TCCTCTGTCCTGTCAGTGGTCAAAATTGTATAGCTGAACGATGTATGTTTCTCTCTCTATAAAATGTTAGGCATTGGCTTATCTCTATGAACTGTTTCCACTGGTGTTACAGTCGTTTAGTGCAGGGTTAGTTACTTAACTTGTGCTCTGAATAGAAATATCTCACTACACTGCAAACAATATGTGATAGCAGCAGTCTCCAAAATCCACTGCTGCCTCCAGAATGTGACAATGGCCCTCTCAGCCTCACCCTACACAGACATTTTCCAGCTCTTGAGACAAAATTCCAAGGTCAGAAGGCAATCAGGAGAAGTCAGGTACAATCCAAATCAAAACACAGGAGCAATAATCAGGCAGAACAACAGGATCACAGGGACAAGCTGAAAGACCATCCAGCAACTAAGCACAGGCCATGCTTGCTTTAAACAGGCTGATCCATTAGAGATACCACATAACTTCCTGTGCCGCAGAGGTCAGCGCGCCTTCGTACATATGTCCCGTTGCGGGCTCATGCGCACTAGCACACGTTTTCCTGTTGTGCACAAACACATGCACAGTAGATACCTTACAAACACTCACAATATGTGTTATATCAATTCTGACCTATAGGAAATATCTGCAACACCCACTGCTTTGCCAGGCAGGGAGGAAACAGAGTTGAAAATATAGAAGCTTTCCTCAAAGAGGCCGTCATTCTTTCATTCCTAATTAGAGCAATTAGAGAATCCGTTTATCACTTTTAAGATATCGATATAATGAAAGGAAAAGAAAAATGGTGCAAGAAAAACCTTAACAGAAAAGATGTTACAAAAACAGACTATAGGCACCAAATGACTTGGTTCCAATTCGCTGTCCAATCTGATGCAGTCTGAGGTCATTGGCTCTCATGAATGACCCTTAGCAATCTGGCATAGTTTTGATGGAAAATTGAGGGATCCCAGCAGCCATTTGCAGCAGCTTCTTGTGGATCCTTTAGAGCAGGGGTGGCCAAACTCCGGCCCTCCAGCTGTGGTGGAACTAAAAATTCCATGAGGCATTGCAAGATTCTCACAGACATGACTCCCGGAGAGAGATGCATCACGGGATTTGTAGTTTTACCACAGCTAGAGGGCCGGAGTTTGGCTACCCCTGCTTTAGAGGGTGTCTACAGAATAATTGATATAGCCAGAGGATCTGAGGGGTACTAAAGGGTTTTATGATATTTCAGCAGATCCTCCCTCAGTGCCAGTTTTTCTAATTGTATCAATATTTTAGGATGTTTTATAGTCTGACCAAAATATTATTACACAGAACGAAATCATAATTCAACAGAAATCAGTTTTATGTAAGACTTCCTCAGCAAAGTGTCCCATTAGCTTTCTGCGCCTCCTAATATAGGGGTATTTGGTATCTACATGGTTGCTATTTTCCTATACATTTGTGAAACACTTGCTATTAACTTAGCTCAATCATAGCATTAATTATGGAAATTGTATATATTTTGGTTTTGTTAGTGAATAACAGCCACACTGAAATGCGTCTTCCGCTACCTGCTCAGCGTAAATATTTACGACCTGCAGAAAGTACTTCTCAAGAGGTCTTATGGCATGCCAATTTTACGATGGTGCTTAATTAAAAATCTCTGGTTAAATGCTGTGTTAGTGCTTTGGCTTGCCAGACTTCTGTTAATTTGTTTAATGACACCAGGCGTGTGTCCTATTAATAAAGATGATATGACTGAAATGCTGTAATGTGATTTATGAGAGCCTGTATCATGTCTGGAGCTGGTTGTGTTCTAGCGGGGTGGGGTCAAGGGTGGGGTGTTCTATGTGATGTGTATCTTACACAAGATTTTAAATCTTATCATTTGTCACTGACTTATGCATTTTGGGGAAAAGAGGGCAGTACAACCCCCATTCTCTTTACTTAGTTAGGGGTTCATCGTACCTCATTATTGCATCAGGTGTTCTTTTAACAGCAAGTCATTGCCACGTTCTTTTGCCGGCAGTTATCTTTCATGCCTGTAGTGTCTGAAACAAGAGGCTGTCAGAGCTATAGCGACTGTTCCCCTTTAATGTTTACAATCTTATTTCTTTGCATCATTCGTATATTTCCATGTACACGGGATCAGACATTTTTGATTTGCTGCCTTTGCGTCTTGCCTTGTAAGAGAATTTACAACCCCTCTATGTATTACACGGCTTGAAATACGGTTCGGCAAACGGGTACCAGGTCATTCATTGTTTTAAGATGATAAATATGACAATGGCGGGTCAAAATATTTGCTCATGGAAAATACACAGCAGTTTTTTTCTTGAAGGAAGGAAACATATTCAAAGAAATGACAAGTCCCTTTATAACGGGGTGTTCCAGCGCTGCCCATTAGCATACATGTCTATCC